ATTATCAAAACATTATATTGTGCCCCACAAATATATAGCATATACAGTTATTTGTCATTTAAGAATGAAATTTGTGAAGATAAAGAAAAGCAAAATTAACTCAAACCAAGCAGATGGAAGGAAATCATAAATTTAAGAGAAAAAAATCAATGAAATGAAAACAGAAAAACAAATGAGAAAAACCTAAGAAAAAGGGAGCTGGTACTTTGCAAGATCAACAAAATTGACATAACTATAGCAAGAAAAAAAAACCTTAGAAGATATGAATTGCCAGTATCTGGAATGAAACAGGGATATTACTACAGATACTGCAGACATCAAAAAGGAAATAAGGGACTAATATGAAGAGCTCTACACAAATAAATTTAACAACTTAAATGAAATGGATCAATTTCTTGAAAAACAAATGATCATAATTCATGAAATAGATAATTTGAATAGCCTACAACTATTAAGGAAATTGAATTCATAGTTTTAAAACTTTCAAAAACAAAATCTCCAGGCACAGGTGGTCTACCAAACATTTAAAGAATTAACAGTTTCTACACATTCTCTTTCAGAAAATGGAAGAGAAGCAAACATTTCCTGGATTTTTTTGTTTTGGGTTTTTTTGTTTGTTTGTTTGTTTTTTTGAAATAGGTCTCATTTTGTCACCTGGGCTAGAGTGCAGTGGTATCATCATAGTGCACTGCAACCTAAACTCCTGGGCTCCAGTGATCCTCCTGCCTCAGCCTCCCAAGTAGCTGGGACATACCACTATGCCCAGCTAATTTTTTCTACTTTTTGTAGAAACAGAGTCTCACTTTTGCTCAGGCTGGTCTCAAACTCCTGGTCTCAAGCATTCCTCCCACCTCAGCCTGGTAGAGTGCTAGGATTACAGGCATGAGCCACTGTGCCTGGCCCCCCAATTGATTTTTATGAAAGTAGTATTATCATGCTACCAAAACCAGACAAAGACACTATAGAAAAAAAAAAAAAAACTACATACCAATATCTCTCATTAATATAGATGCAAAAAAGCCCTTAACAAAATAATAGCAAATGGAACTCAACATATATAAAAAGAATTACACATCATTACCAAGAGGGGTTTATTCCAGGGATGCAAGACTGACAGGTTCAATATTCAAAAATCAATCATTTTAATCTACCATATTAATAGGCTAAAGAAGAAATATCACATGGTTGTATCAATTGATGCATAAAAAGCATTTGACAATATTGAACACCCGTTCATAATTGGAAAAAAAGAACTCAGAAAAATAGGCATAGAGAACTTCCTCAATTTGAAAAACATCATCTACAAAAAACCTGCCTAACATACTTAACGGTGAAACTGAATGCTTTCCCCTAAGATCAGGAGCAAAGCAAGCATGCTCATTCTCACCACTCATTCAACATAGACTATGGTGCTGGAAGGTCAAGCCAAAGTATTTATAGTAAGGGAAGAAAAAGAAAAGAAAAGAAAAGGCATACAAATCAGAAAGGAAGAAAAAAACTAAGCCTATTTGTGGATAACATATGCATCTTTGTAGAAAATCCCAAGGAATCTTAAAAACAAATCTCCTGGAATTAATGAGTTCAGCAAGGTTGCAGGATACAAGATAAACATACAAAATTCAACTGTATTTCTCTATATTAGCAATGAGCATAGGGATAGTGAAATTAAAAATATAGTATCAGTTATAATCAACCAAAAAATACATGGATGTAAGTCTAATAAAACACAGGACTTATACACTGAAAAGTATATAACAACGATGAAATAAATCAGATCTAAATAAATGGAGAGATGTACTGTGTTCATGAATTGGAAGAGTCAACATAGTAAAGATGTTAATTCTCCCCAAATTAATATACAGATTAGATGCAATTCCTATCAAAATCCCAGCAAGATGTTTTTGGTAGACATAGGCAATCTTATTCTAAAATATATATGGAAAGGCAAAGACATAATTTGGAAAAAGAAGAATAAAATGGGGGGAATCAGTCCATTCGATTTCCAAGCTTATCATCACAGCAATCAAGATTTTGTGGTTGATGGAGAGACAGATCCATTGAACAGAAGAGAGAGCACAGAAACAGACCCACAGAAATGTGTCCAGCTTATTTTTGACAAAGATCAAAGCAATTCAATGGAGAAAAGGTAGCTTTTTAAAACAAATGTTGGAGCAGTTGGACATTAATAGAAAGAAAGAAAGAAAGAAAGAAAGAAAGAAAGAAAGAAAGAGAGAGAGAGAGAGAGAGAGAGAGAGAGAGAGAGAGAGAGAGAGAGAGAAAGAAAGAAAGAAAGAAAGAAAGAAAGAAAGAAAGAAAGAAAGAAAGGAAAGAAAGAAAGAAAGAAAGAAAGAAAGAAAGAAAGAAAGAAAGAAAGAAAGAAAGAAAGAAAGAAAAGTCAACCTCATCCTAAGTTCATATCTTATATAAAAATTAACTGGAAATGGATCATAAAATTAAGTATAAAAATAAAACTCTAAAACATTTAGGAAAAATATAGCAGAAAATCTATAGGACCTAGGGCTAGGCAAAGAGTTCTTGATAAACACCCAAAGTGTAAGGGCAAAAATTTGTAAGTTGGACTTGCATCAAAATTTAAAACTTTTGCTCTACATATGACCCTATTACGAGGATGAAAATATAAACTATGGAGTGTGAGAAGATATTTGCAAGCCACATATTCAACAAAACCATGTACTATGGACAATTCATCTTTTATTCTGAAGTTAAAATCATTTTATTTTATTGTTTGTTTAGTGTTCCATGTCTCTCTTTCTAATTTACCCTCAAACTCCTCAAGAGAGTTGAAAATCTCCTCTGAATATGATCCTACCCATCAGGTGTTCTGTCAGTTATATTTTCTTCCTAGAAACAGTTCCACTGAGCCTCTGTCTCCTGTTTCCATCTGGACTAGTCAACCTGTAGGCAGTCTGTGTGTTTGCCATGCTAAGACATCCTTTCCCCATTATCTTAGAATTCTCTCACTTTCCTGTATTAGACCATTTCTTCTCTTTTTTTCTTGGCTTCGTCTCTCAATTTGGGGAAGTACCTCTTTGAGTACTTTCCTGGCTAAAATAAAAAGACTGAATCTCCAAAGCATAAGCCAGGATTTGGAGCAATGGGGACCATATACCCATTGCTAGTGGGCATACAAATAGGCACAACCACTTTGGAAAATGCTTATGCATTTCCTACTAAAGTTGAAGATCCTAAGGAACCCAGCAGCTCCATTTAATAGGTATTTTATACCCAAAAGAAATGTGCATGCATATGCACCAAGAGACAATCCAGAATATGTTTGCTCTGTGCACTTTTTGTGTATGTATGTTATGTTTCACAATGTGAATGGTTAAGAAAATGGGCAAAGATAACAACAGGCCCTTCCCCCCAAATTAGATATTCTTTGATTACTCACCACATGAACATAAATGTGTAAGTCCAACATTACCAAGCAATGCGAGGGTATGGATCAGCTTGAACTTTCATACCCCATTGGCACGAGTATAATTTGTTTCAAAACAATCTTGCCTTACCTAGTAATGTGTGTGCACGTACCACAGGGCAGAACAGTTCGTGCTCTGTGGGTCTCCCTCTGGGCCCAGTGTTGGGGGCTGGCAGCTCCATGGTGCCTGTTCTTCTCTTGCTGAAGGTCAGAAGCTCTGGGGAAAGGGTGCTTGAAGCCTGTAAGGTCTAGATTCAGAACAAGCTGTCACCTGTACCCATATTCTGCTGGTGGAAGCTAGTCACAAAGCCCACCTGACATGGAGAGGGCCTGGCGGGGGCTGAGTCTCCAGTAGCCTGGGAAAGTGAAAGCTGAGCCACTTGAATGAACACCTTTGCATTTCTTGGCTCTGTGTATTTAAGAATGGCAGACATTGGTACATAGAGATTTTATAGCATCACCTTTGGCAATACCTTGTGCAATGAAAAATCATTTGTTACAGTCATAGATCGCCAATATTTGTCTGAAAAATATTAGCACTTTGAGTTAGCTGATGTAAAAGAAATTATTCTTTATTGAAAAGTAGGGTATCTCCTTGTTTAAGAAAAGTAATTTGTTTCATGTTAGGTGTTATTTTGAATTAAATTGTATAGATTTTACAAATTTTCTTTTTTTAGTTATTTTACATCTAGGACTTACTTATTTATTTTTAGAGATGGGGTCTCATTATGTTGTCCAGGTTGATCTCGAACTCCTGGGCTGTAGTAATTTCCTGCCTCAGCCTCCCAAGTAGCTGGGACTACAGGCAGCATGCCACCATACCGCTAAGACTTTTATTTTTTTTTAAATGCACTTTCCCTTCAAGCATTGGGAACCCTGTTCTCTCCTCTTGTCATTGAGATGCTCATGTTTTCTCTTTGTCTAATGCTGCTTTTTTAAATACTTGAAATGCATTTCTTTCTTTCCATGGTTTTTAATTTTCCAAGCTGTTTTTATTCATTCAGCATTTATTGAACACATGCAACTTATGGGCACTGTCAACATTGTGATGATAAGATGTAATTGTAGCTGATAAAATAAGTCCCCAGTAGCAATGGGGGGAGGAAACCAGACAAAGCCTCAAGGATGAAGCTAGGGTCTGGATGGATGAGCAGGAGTGTCCTAAACCATGAAGTAAGACAGGAAATTTCTGACCACAGGAGGAGAAAGGGCTGAGGCACAGAGCTATGGCATGTCTCCAGCATAAATCAATATGAGTGACCTTCAGTTTATTGACTTTAAACTCATTCTGTAATCCCTCTGCAGTTTTCTGTAATTGACCCCTTAGGTTTGTTCAAATGTACTTTTTCTTGTTTTATTCCTTGCTTACAAAATAGGAATTTGAAGTAATTCCTGATGGTGTTCTTCATGGCCTGGGTCAATGGAAATCGTTTTTGCTTCATTACTTAAAGATAACTGAAGGAGGATGCTTTGAACTGAGCCATTTTCGTGTGTTCTTAATTGTGTCACTCAAGCCGACTGTCGTGTTAACAGTGAGGTCTGTCTGTGTTCCTCTGTCCAGATCAAGTTTGACAGTGTGGAGGTGTGCGTCTGCTGTGAGCTGCAGCACCAGTCGACCGGCTGCAGCAACCTCGGGGAGACGCTGAAGCTGAACCCGCTGCAGGAGAACTGCAACGCCGTGAGGCTGACCCTGAAGGTGACCCCGCCGGGCGCTGCCTGTGCATGCATTCCATCCCATGCCTTGCACACGTTTTAGGAAGGCTTATTAACATACAGATTCCTTTCAGCTCTTAATTTGTTGAGGTAATTTCAATGCAAGAGGGAATATCTTTCCAGAGAACATTTTAAAGGATTATAGATTTTCATTTTGAAGGTGTTACCTTCTGAATCTTGTTTTCCATTTTTACCATTTCATTGTCCTACCTCTGACATATGCAAAAGAGGAAATGAACGGTTGGAAGAGGGCTTTACAAATGATGATGTGATGCTTTCTATTGCTTTTCTGACATTTTTGGCTATTATACCATGAGGGAACAGATAAGTATTTATTTTACTTTTTAAAAGATATTTGGAGAAAAATATTTTCCAGTCTCCCATGACAGTATATTATCATGTGTAGTACCTGATCCTTAAAAAAATGACATGGGAAAATCATTTATATTATTCCTTTTTTTTTCTTCCAACAACTGTTCAATTCTAAAAACCAAAATTGGTTGCTTAATAATACATATGAACAATGAACCCAATTCTTCTCTTTCCCTTGAATGAAACTATGCCAGAACTTTCTGAAAAAATGTATCATGGTCAAAGGAACTCTTGGTTGGTGGTAAAATTGTATTTGCACTATGCAGGGAGCTCTAGCACGTGTCTAGGGAACATAGTATGGAGGGAACAAAGTATGGAGGCTACAAAGAGAGCCACCTTGAATCTGGGGAGAAAGGAGGGAAATATTACCCTCTGGAATTGCGTGCCTATTATTAAGTTGTCCATGAGTGGTCACCAGCTGGCAGACAAGCAGAGATGTACGGAGAGAGAGAATGCACCTAGTCTACCTGGTAGGACGGGGCCTGGTTCCCCAGCTCGTATAGAGAAATGGACCAAGTTCAATGATCCCAGCAGCCTGCCAGAGTGACAAATCCAGCAGAGATGGAAGAACTCATCCCTGCACACTGCAAGGCCCATCCAGTCATGCTACTAGGTATTTCTTGCTTTCCCACAGTATGCATGACAACGTTTCTACCTCACTATGTCCTGGGGCCTGCTCAAGGTCATTGCCTAAGGTCTGCCATGGCCATTCACAGCCCTCCTGGGAGGGGACGTGGGTAGCCATTGCTGATTCTGAGATCTCATTCTGACAGCTTCTAAATCACCTCTGCAACCTGGGCTTGTTTTCTTTCCATATTTAAAAAACATAACAAGGCAATAGGTCATTATAATTAGAGTGCAGTCCCCCACTCCCTGAGAGAGCTGACAAATCTCCAGGAGAATTTTTCAGCTTCAGAGGCCACTTGAGTGGACGAAGTGAGGCCGGTAAGTCGCCTCCCACTGCCCGGTTGGTGGGTTGGGGTATTCGGCCTGCTTCACTAAGGCCCTGGAGTTCTCCTTGACACCTTTGCTCAGTGGGACCCAGGACCCCATGTTCATGACTCTCTAGCCCCTGAGGAGGTGACTGTGACTTGCAAGGTCTTGCTGGTGTTAGAAAAACAACACTATCTCTGAGAATGCAGACTCAGGCTTTGGCTGAGCTGGTGACCTTGCAGCCTCACCTGTATTCATTGTTCTAGAACTATAATGAGCAAACACCTTACTATGGGGTGGCCAGTGTGGAATAGAGTGTCAAGTACTAAAGTCAAGAAGGTCAAGTGAAGGCTGGGAGTTGAATGACTCATCCCCATGGTTATTCAGATTACCCGTGACACTGGAGAGTTGGAGGCAGAAGACAGACTATGCCAAACTTCTTAAAAAGTTTGTGTAGAAACTCAGTGAGAGGTTGGGACTGTCAGAGCTGGTGGCATGAGGTTACATGAAGGCATAATTTATGATTGAGGTGAAAGACCAGTGGTCCCGAAGTAGCAGCAGTGGCTTAGGTGTTAGGAGAAGAGGCAGCCCGCCCCGTCCCCCAACTGAGCGCCTATCCCAGGAGCAGAGTCCCTGGGGGACTGAGTTTCATCTGAGATCAGGCGGACAAGGGACTATTGGAAGTGAGCATCTTGCTCTCCGACTTTGTTGTTTTCCAAAATTATTTTCGCTATCTTAGTTCCTTTGCATTTCCATGTAAATTTTACAATCAGCTTGTTAATTTCCACTGAAATCTCGCTGGGATTTTGATTGAGATTGCATGGAATCCATATATGACTCTGAAGGGAACTGACATATTTATGGTATAGCTTTCCTTTTATTTAAGTCTTTATTTCATCAGTATTTCTTTTTTTATCAGCCTTGTTTAGTTTTCAGTACTATATGTATATATCTTAACATATTTTGTAATATTTATGCTTCAAGTGTTTCATATTGATTGGTGCTATCTTAATGGTACTTTTACATTGTCTCTTATTCATTGCTAGTATGTAGAAATTTGAGTTTTATTACTGATCTTGTGTCTTGTAATCTTGCTTAACTCTCTTATTAATTCTAGTAGCTCATTTGTAGATTCTTTGGATTTCCTTATGTAGACAATTATGTGATATGCAGAGAGAGGCAGTTTTCCATCTTCCATTCTGTATTAGTCAGGGTTCTGCAGAGAAACAGAACCAATAGGATATATGTAGAGATATAGATACATGAGAGGGGTCTATTAGGAGAATTGGCTCACATGGTTATGGAGACTGAGAATTCCTGTGGTGGGCCACCTGCAAGCTAGAGACCCTGGAATGTCATTAGCATGGCTCAGTCTAAGTCCAAAAGCCTCAGCACCAGAGAAGCCAGTGGTGTAACTCTTAGTCCAAAGCCAAAGGCCTGAGAACCAGGTGCGGGGACCAGGGGTGTAGTATAAGTCCTGGAGTCCAAAGGCCAGAAAGCCTGGAGTTCTAATACCCAAGGGTAGGAGAAGAAGAGTGTCTCAGTTCCAGGAGAGAGAGGAAGAATTCACCTTTCCTTTGCTTTTTATTCTGTCCAGGCTTTCAGCTGATAAAATGGTACCCACCCCCATTGACAGCAGATCTTCCCCATTCAGTTTACTGATTCACACACCGGTCTTCTCTGGAAACAGCCTCACAGATACATCCAAAGATAATGCTTTGCCATTTCTGTAGGTCTCCCTTGATCCAGTCAGTTGGCACCTAAAATTCACCACCACACATTCCAATCTGGATGCCTTTTATTTATTTCCTCTGCCTTGTTACACTGACTAGAACCTCCGGTATAGTGTCAGATAGAAGTGGTAAAACAGATGTCCTTACCTTGTTCCTGATTTTAGGGATTAAGGATAATGTTAGCTCTAAGATTGTTGTAGATGTTCATTGTCAGGTTGTAGAAGTTCCCCTCTATGTCTAGTTTGCTGAGAGTTTTTACCATGAATGGCTGTTGAATTTCACCCAAGTCTTTTTCTGCATCTGCTTAGATGTTCCTGTACTTCTTCTTCATTCTGCTAATGTGGTGAATAACTTTGATTGACTTTAACTGGTCAGCCAGCCCTACGTTCCCAAGATAAACACCACTTGGTCTTTTTGTCCTCAGCTGGGGCAAGTCTACTGATGACACTGTCAAAGGCTTTCCTGTCTGGAGCTGTGTTTTTATTCCCAGTATTTCCATCTCATTCTTCCTTATTGCTTCTGTATCCCTGCCCAGTTACCTAGAGGACATGGTGTATTGTCCACTTTCTCTACCAGAGCAGATGTCTGACTGCACCTGCCCTGTGTGAGTGCTCATGTCTCTCCTTGGACACTGTCTTTTCATTAGAATTCCAGTTAGTTTGCTACCCAGTGACCTCAGCTATCTGCTGGGTTCAACTTAAGTTGGGAATTTGCAGTGTTCATTGTCTTGGTGTTGCTGAAATGGTGGCACAGTGCTCTTTCCAGCTTTCTAAGAAAAATCTGGAATCATCTTCCACTTGATTTTTTCCCCATAGGTATATAATTCTTGAGGAACATATTGTTTCCCATTAGGGGTTTATAGGTGATGTTTTTATAGATGATGTTTTGCATTTGCCATTATCATTTACATTAAATATGTATATAGGGAAAAATCTTAAGGTCAGCCTAATACTTTTCTCCCTTTTAGATATATGGTGGTCATTAATGCTGCTTAAAAGTATGTCTAGGCTGGGCGCGGTGGCTCACTCCTGTAATCCTAGCACTCTGGGAGGCCAAGGCGGGCAGATTGCTCGAGGTCAGGAGTTCGAAACCAGCCTGAGCAAGAGCGAGACCCTGTCTCTACTAAAAATATAGACGCTGTCTCTACTAAAAATATAGAAAGAAATTAATTGGCCAACTAATATGTATAGAAGAAATTAGCTGGGCATAGTGGCGCATGCCTGTAGTCCCACCTACTCGGGAGGCTGAGGCAGAAGGATTGCTTGGGCCCAGGAGTTTGAGGTTGCTGTGAGCTAGGCTGACGCCACGGTACTCACTCTAGCCTGGGCAACAAAGCGAGACTCTGTCTCAAGAAAAGTATGTCTAGATCCCCAGCTTCCCCTTACATGAAGATTGTACTTCCTAGTCTCCCTGTGGTTGCCGAGGGCCAGGTGAGCAAAACACGCACGTATCTCTTCTAAGCTGGAGTACGTACGTAGCTGTGGTGTGAGATTCTCCAGAGCTCTCTTCCCTCGGGCACAGCAACTGGCTGGTTACAGATGGTGGCTGCACTTAGCCTGGGTTACCACAGTGAGCAGAGCCCCCCGCGGCTTTGCCACTTTGCAGGTGTAGCATGAGTGAAAAACAAACTCTTGTTGTTCCAACCCACTGATATTTGGGGGATATTTGTTATGACAGTATCATGTAGCCCATCCTGTCTGCTACAAGGCAACATTTATTTTTTGTCCAGATGTCAATAATATTTTTCATTTATCAAGTTCACTAACTTCACTATGATGTGCCTTGATAACGGATCCATCTTTATGAAATTCCATGATACACAGGGTATTCTTTCAACTTATCATCTTGCCTCTTGCTTTATTTCAGAAAGTTTTCTGGTACTGTATATTTGGATTTTTTTCTGTTCTGTTTTAGGACAGTGGTGCATTTCTTGGACCTCACTTCT